CGAAAGCGTGATGTCGAGAATACCCGTCGTGGAGCTCAGAAAGTTGAAGGAAGGACCGAAAAAATGAACTGGAGGTGTGCCCAGAATTTCTCGCGACTCGCGAGATGGTCGCGACTCGCGAGAAGGTCACGACTCGCGAGTTCAACAGAGATTAAAGATGCTGTTCGCGAGCTCGAGTCGCGACTCGCGAGTCAATGTCGCGACTCGCGAGACAGAGTCACGACTCGTGAGTGATGTCGCAATTTTCCCCAGAAAAATGAAGATATTTGAAGACGCGCGACTCGCGACCGTGAAAAATGTTAAGTCGCGACTCGCGAGATGACTGGCGCGAATTTTGAGGCGCGGGTTTTTACATCAGAATTAGGGCCTAGGATTGATTATTCAGCTCCCAGACTTTGTTTTTACGCTTTTTCTCTCTAGAAACTCATTCCTTTTCATACTTTTGCTCTTTTGATTGGATATTGGAGATTGAAACTCTGTTTTCTAGCTTGGATTTGGATTGTTCATTGGATTTGACATTGGGGTTCTCTTTATTAATCGTAAGTTCTTCTTTTCTCAATTGTGTGTTGATGATGATGACTTGGGTTTATATGAATTTTGATGTTGAATTCCATATGAGTAGCTAAATCCATACGCTGGGGATAGGGGATGATTGATTAGGTTCGTTGAATGATTGCTTGCTTTTGATTGTTCATGCCTACTCGTGTTGTGCTTATTTTAGGGTTAGTAGATTGATCACCTTTCTAACCTAATCAATAAACGTGTAGAACCGAGAGGGGAGACGTTTGTCGACTTAGGCTCGTTTAGAGTAGACTTGTTCGTAAAAGTATTGTCTATGAGTTGTTGGAATTGATAGTTGATCGTGTATGTTCACTCTCTTGTTACGAAGAGTTATTGAGAGTGAACCTCTGGACGAGAAATGATTCATGTCCTTTAACCAAGCAATTGGTTGCCGGTAGTTGTGTTAGAACCGAAAGCAATTATCCCCGATTCCCTTGCTCTTTAATCATTTGAGTTAATTTACTTGCTATTTAAATCGCTTTTCATTTATTTTAAAGTCATTAGCGATAATTGAAACCAAAACCATTGAAATAGAGTGTTTAGGGAATTTTTCTTTTCTTTTTCGTGATCGAATAATCGTACAATTAAATCTGGCTAACCTTCATTGCGATACGACCCGGGGAACGAATCTTTCGATTCTACTCTAGTAAAAATACTCACAACAACAATGACTTTTTTCCATAAAGAAATATTATTTTATAAATCATGTACTTCAAAAATATGAAACTAGAATGTGAAAATTAAAAGTCTATGCCCAAGATTTTTTTGGATAAAGTTGTCAATTAAGTGCTCATTTGCCATTTTTTATTCCGATGCCATTTTCTAACTAAGAATCATTTGTGTAGTTGTATTCATGCTATTACTGCCAAGTTTGATAGATATATCCCCTCCTTTCCCCTCAGTTCTCATTCAGACCTTAGAGCCCTCTCCCCACCCTATCTCATCGGCTGAGCCTGAGCTTCCTCCACTCCCACCAGCTCGACCCCTTCTGACCCTACCTTCTACTTCCTCCACATCTCCCACTATCGAGTCTGGTCCACCGTCCCCTCAGGACCAGGCGCAGAGCACGGATGGCTTGGAGCTCCTACAGCTCGACCTCCATCCTTAGGAGATCCCTCCTGTGTGAGAGGGCCCTATCCAGGAGAGCCCAGATCACCGGAGACCATAGACCAGATCGAGGACTGCGCAACTCTCTACTAGCCGAGTTCTGTCTCTACCAGACATACAGACACAGCCTAACCACGGACAGCTCTAGTTAGGCAGCTCCACTGACGTTTGACATGTCAGTCACATCGCTAACATGGAATGCCCGTGGCCTGGCTAATAGGACCACCCTTGCTCATGTTCTATCTCACATTCATGAGCATAACCTTGACTTCGCGGATTTCTTAGAGCCTATGAATCGTAACCCCTCTTTTGACGTATACTCGCGCCGCATTGGCTTCCATGCCGAAGTGGGCAACACCTCCAATAAGATTTGGTTTTTTCACTTACGTGACTTTACTTGCCAGATCATTTGAGATACTAAGCAGGTTTTGCACGTGAAGCTCATCGTCGCCCATCTTCCAGAGCCAATCTTCCACACCTTGGTTTATGCCAGTTGTGTGAGGGTTGGTCAATATGATCCCTGGGACACCATGCTTGAGATTGCTGAGAGTATAGAGGGATTACCGTGGATGGTTAGCGGTAATTTCAACATATTTGGTCATCTCGATGAACACAGTGGTGGCCTTTCGGACCGCTCAGCGGAGATCTTAGATTTCTCACACGCAGTGTCGGACTGTGAGCAGATCGATGCTGGATACGAAGGGGCTCCCTTTACGTGGGAGAGGGCCGGAGTCAAGGAAAGGCTCGACCGTGCTCTATACTCAGAGGCATGGACGAGGGTGTTTGCGACCACAGTGGTAACACACCTCCCTCGAATTGAATCCGATCACGCTCCCCTTCGGATCCAGTGTCAGTTCTCTATTTTCCCTTGTCGATCTTCCTTTTGCTTCCAGAACATGTGGGTCCGACATCATTCTTTCTATGATACTGTTAGGGCTTTCTGGCAGCAGGTTACGCACCTTTATGGGATGCGCAACCTGGAGGAGAAGCTCATGAGACTCCGCCGCGTTTTGAAGCAGTGAAACTGGACGACTTTTGGTAACATTACTCAGCGCCTCACTGCAGCTCAGACTGCATACGCGGAGGCTGAGCGGATCTATGATCTGGACTCTTCACTAGAGAATAGGTCCGAGATGCGCCGCTGCCATGCTGAGTACCAGTTGCGCCTCCTTATGGAGGAAGATTTCTGGAAGCAGAAGGCTGCTGTGCGCTGGGTGGCTGAGGGGGAACGTAATACCAAGTTCTTCCAGGGACTTGTGAGGCAGAAGCGAGTCAAGTCGTATATCCATAGTATCAAGGATAATGGATCATCTGTGACCCAGTAGTCCCAGATACGGGAGTCGGCTAGGGCTTACTTCTACTCCCTATTTTTCTCTGAGCGGGACTTGCTTACGCAACCCAACCCTACCCTTTTTCTGACCATCCCGCAGTCGGTCGACCTCTACGACCTCTTGAGTAAGGAGGAAGTCAGGGAGGCTGTTTTTGGGATTGATCCCAACAGTGTCTTTGGACCGGATGGCTTCTCGTCCCTCTTCTTCCAGTCATGCTGGGAGATTGTGGGAACTAGAGGAAGCTATAAGGGATTTCTCCTCTGGACACCAGATGCCAAAATCCTTCACAGCAACCTCCACCATTTTGATCCCTAAGAGACCCAGACCGAGCTCCTGGTCCGACTATAGACCTATCAGTTTATGCAATGTGACTAACAAGCTCATCTCTAGGATCCTTAACGGGCGTCTCGCCCCTCTCCTCCCCTATCTTGTCTCTCTGAGTCAGAGTAGATTTATCAAAGATCGAGTCATTGGTGACAATATCCTTTTGGCTCAGGAGATGATTCACGATATCTCTCATGCGAATCGAACACGAACCCTGAACCTCATGTTGAAGCTAGACATGGCCAAGGCATATGATAGGGTCGAGTGGTCGTTTCTCAGAGAGGTACTGTTTCGGATGGGATTCCCTATCCGCTGGATTAGCTTTGTTGAGGCGTGTGTTGAACACTGCACGTTCTCTGTTTTGATTAATGGTAGTCCCACGACCTTTTTCCTTTCTACCCGTGATCTGCGTCAGGGGGATCCCTTATCCCACTCTCTTTTTGTCCTGGTGGCTGACTACCTCTCTCGCTGCCTTGACGGCTTCATTCGACATCCCTAGGATGACCTACAGCACACGTGGCTGTGGGCTGCCCATATCCCACCTCTCTTATGCGGATGACATTATCATTTTCACTCGTGCGAATGATAATGGGCTAGCCGATCTTATAAGTCTCTTGGAACACTATAGTGAGAACTCTGGCTAGTTTGTCAGTTTTAGTAAGAGCACTTTTATCATGGACCACCACATTGTTGATCAGTGGGCTCATCGGATCCACGAGCGCACTGGCTTTGCTTGAGGAGACTTACCCATCTCTTACCTTGGGGCCCCCCCTATACAAAGGCCATCTCTCTCATGAGCTTTTCATCGACATCCGTCAGAGGATGATTGACTGGATTTCCAGTTGGTTGCACAGACACCTATCCTTCGGGGGTCGTCTTGCTTTGATCAAGAGCACTCTTTATGCCCTTCATCTTCACCTTCTCGTGGTGCTTGATCCACATCAGTCTACGATTCATGAGTTAGATCAGATCTTAGCCCGCTATTTTTGGAGCCACGAGGGCACACGGGGACGGCGGCATACCCACTGGGTGAAGTAGGACTCCGTCTTTCATCCTTTTTCTGAGGGTGGTCTCGGGATTCAGCATTTCTCAGATATTGTCACTGCCTTTTCCTATAGGATGTGGTGGCGCTTCAGGGAGGGCAAGTCTCTTTGGGCCCAATACCTCCTTCGGAAGTAATGCCTTGGTGGAGCTGCCCATCCTCGCAGGGTGACGACCACTGCTTGTGACAGTCGACAGTGGAGACGGCTTACCATTCTTGG